TTTTTGATTGTTTGTTTGCTTATTTTCTCAGCCAGAAAATCATTCACACTACCGTTTGTGCTCTTTACGAAACTTCTTCATTCAAATCTATTTCCCTGTCAGTGTTCCCATCTTTATTAAAAGGCGTAAGATGACAAAAACAAAATCTTGAAGAATTTCTCAATAATGTGCTTTGGTTATGGTAGGTAATTTGAAGAAAAAATAAAGTGTTACTGTTTCTTATTTGTAGGAGGTTTAAGAGGAAAGGCGACAACATAATGAACTAATTCATCACCATACCTGAAAACTCTGACTTCACTTTTTTTGAAAAATGAAATGGTCTTTTCTTTTACTCCCGATCAACAATCAAATATCTTTTCTTGAATTATGAATAACACGAATGGATTGAAATATTTAATTAAATTATCTCAAAAGAAACCTTCATTTCGGTGCAATATTGAAATTAGCTTGAATTCTTCATAACCTCTAAATAGTGGGTGATCCAACAGGTCACGGGTGGTTTAGTACAACCTAAAATCCTATTTGCCCAACCACTAGCAACAGCACACTACTTAGATGGCTTTAGAGACTGATCAAATATTACACCAAGATCCTTTTCTTCCATAACACTGTTAAGGATATTCCCATCCAAATTGTACTTACAATTCAAATTATGATAACCCACATGCATTATCTAGTATTTATTATAATTAAAACCCATCAGCAATTTATTTGCCCAACTCACTAAATGATCTAAGTCCTTTAATTATGTTCCAAATTATGTTTTCTGCTTGTAAAATAATTTATTTGCGACTTTATAAATGTATTTTTAGGAACTTCTGGCATTGTTCTGCGAATTTACATCTGCATAGAAGTGATGAAAGTGTACAAAAACTTTGGATATGGCCTTACGGATCACGGTAAGGTTGTAATTTGAAAACTTTTTCATGCTAAATTAAAACATTGAAACTACTTTTTATTTCCTTCCAAATAAGCTTATCTATAATTTAAGAGTTTTTTTAATGCCATTAAACAATTCACTAGGTTATAATTTGATTGTCAGTAACAGCAAACCAACTTCTTAATTTTTACCTCAGAATACTACATGCAAAAATAATGGCACTGGAACCTTATGTTTTTGTTTTAAGAGTATTGCATTAAGCTAATAGTTTAACGTGTTAAATGCAGATTTTTTAGTGGTGATAATTTCCTTTGATGATAGAGAGTTAATTTTTTATTCCTGTCTGTAATAATGTGAAGGTTATCTGTATTCACTCTTCCATTTTGATTGTGATCCACAGCCTTTGCTGGACTTGTGGCTTCAGAGTCGACTAATTTGTTATCTCGACCTAGAGCTCTGAACATGTGACCCCCAGTGGTATATCCAGTGAACAGGAAAAGATCAGTCTGTGCATTACAAGGAACCTTTCTTCCATGTTTAGTTTGCTTGTTGATGACATTGTATTGTTTCATAACGCAACTTTTCAGTCAGTCTAATACCCAAATGGACGAGAACTCCCATCATACGACGTATACGTGTATGTTATGAATCCTGCAAAACCTCTCATCCTGACAAAAACAAATGTTTGTTGAAAATTTTCGTTAAACTGATGTAAAAAGTCAATAATCATAGTCGTGCTGTAAAACTTCCATTTTTATAGAATTGTTATCATCCATAATTTCATGTCTTGTACATACATACACACACACCTTATATAGATTATGTTGTAGTATCAGTATTGAAAGGAATGGGGTAGTTCTTCCATATGGATGATACAGATTCAAAATTGATTGAATGTCCAATAAAAAAAAAGTTACTTTTTTTTTTCGTTTTTCATTTTCTAAGAAAAGTATGCGGTGAAAATTGTCTCACAGGGCATCCTCAAAAATGTATCCTACGGTTCTCCAAATTTGTGTTTGAGCTATTCTTTTGAAAACTTACTGAGATAGAAGAGTATAAATTCAAAATACTGTACGTACATACGCACCATTTATGATCTCGGGAAGTTACAATTGAAAGATAAGATGAATTTGCAGTTTAACATCACCTTTGCAAGGGAGTTAGATGTTGAGCTTGCTTTTGATCCTTACAGTAACATCAGAAAATTGCTTGAAAATGTTGACTTCATTGTTCCTATTGTAAGCCCATCTTATTTGCAAGAAATTGAGCCTGTTGACATCCAGACAAGAACCACAGATAGCCTCCATGTCCGTTACATTTTCCAGCATTATCAAAATGAGTATGCTAATAAAGCTTGTCTAAATTATAAAATACGGCCGAAACAAAATGTTTAACTTCATGTCTTTCTGTTTCTGTTGTATAGATGTGGATATAAGAACAGGAATCATAAGTAAGGAAGTGAAACTTAGTCTGACTGTATTGGATGAATGATACCATAATTACCAAAACTTGCGATACATCTTTTTTTTTCCATGTAACTCACCTAGGTAATCTCACTTGTGTACCGTTGAGTTTAATAAGTCTATGAAAAAGTTCAAAGAAGCAAATTTTTATACAGAATATTATATTTTATATACTAGTACATACATTGTTAATTTGGTCACTCACTCTCTCTTTAAGCATAGCTCTGCTTTTGAGTTTAGATGACAATCCGAGGTACCCGTTTCAATAATCAAGTACCTTTTTGTAGTAATCTCAAATGTATATAATAACTGTCTCCCCTTCCCCTTGAAAAAAAAAAGTCTCAAAATTGCTGCTTTTGAAGTTATCACCAAATTAATGTAAATATAAATGTTAGCCATTGTTGGTATGAAAATAATTTTTATTGAGTAAACAAAATCGAGATAATAGTTGAAGGTTTACAAATGTAATTGGGAAGGTGGTGTTTGTGATATTGAAATGTGATTTCTACCAAAGGTTCTATTAAGTCTGGTAAATCTGTTTCAGAACTGTAGATGGTGTTTACGTGAAATTATGGTAGAAGAAACTATGAAGCTGTGTGGTTCTTACTGGTTTTTAAATCATCTGAGTATTTATTTCTGTTGTATTTTGTTAATATATTGTGCACCATTCTATATACCATTTGGTGACATCCATAGTGTAAATGAAGTGATTAAAGTAGTCCAATTATTTAGACAATAATTTGACAAATTAACAACACCTTTTCTATTTGTGTGTGTGTGTGTGTCTATATATACATGCCATTTTAAATTCTTTTACTCTTGCTCTAGCTAAAGAATCCTGTATATAAAATTAAACCACTAAGAAATCATCCTTCTATAAAGGCTACTCTTATAAACCACCAGGTACCAAAATAGTGACTTTTTTGTTCTCCTCTCATTATCAGTTAACTCTAAAAAATACTTAAGATTTCATGGTAGTTAAGGGGATCTAGGAGTAAGCTGATTGATGAACTCCTCTTGTTAGCAAACATATGTTAATAACAATGCACACAGTATAGGTGTCCTCTCCCTATCGATATATCCAGATAATTTCTTTAACATACTCCAGTGTAACTCAGTGGATTGATATAGTATACTGATTATTTTTTGAATACTGAAATGTTATGACTAATATACGAAATGTACACACATGTTCATGAATAATTGTATTTAGAAAACATTTAAACTTTATGAACTTGAAGGAAATTTCTGTTGTTTTTTTACTACAAGTAGGGGGAGTCACCTGTTTGTGTGAAAAACTGATATGTGGTGAATTAGTTTTCTAATGTATATTTGTGCAGTTTTTTTTATTAAATAAAGATAGGTCTTAGTATTACATCAACAGGTGATACACTAAACAATATATGTGTGAAACTACAGTGCTCTAAACAATAAAAAAACATACTGATTTTGTGATATTTTAGTAAAATAATGTCCATCACCTCTGAACCCTAAATTTGAGATGAACTGAAATGTATATTATTGGTTATTTTTTGCATTGAAATAGTTGACACACTAAACAGTATATTATATTGTATGACACCTAATTATAAAATAATATAATAAAATTAGTTGTAGAAATGTTTACAGAGAGCAATTAATAAAGTGAATTTCACTAATCTGACTTACTTACATAATTCAAATGTTTGTTTTAAATTTAAACTTTGAATGTTTGTTATGTGAGTACCACAACAACTGTGTTTTTTTACGGTTTAAATTCAGCCTATTATTCAGATATTTTAAATTACTTTGGTATAGCACATGAGAATAAAGAAAGCATAACGTCATGCAGGTGTTTTTAAAAGGGAAGAGTGTTTTCCTTAAAGAATTGGATTTCAAGGAAGGGTCCGAGTTACCATTAATTTTTGATCAAGCAATCTATCTACAAAGATCAGAACTAAAGATCAACCTGATAATGAATATAGCTAACTTGATACACTGTTTTTACCAGGAGTCTACATAGTCATAAAATAGAAATTTATAATGATTTCGATGCAGTGATTTTTCACGTGGGTACTCTCACTGTTAGTGATATTTTGGCCGTAATCCCAATGATATCTTACAAGGTCCTCCCAGTGGCACAGCAGTATGTCTGCAGACTTACAATGCAAGAAACAGGTACTACTTACAAAGTACTAGACCTGATCAAATTTTGAAGATTATAAATCAAAGGTACATGGAAAATCTCCCCCAACCTTGCGAACATGTTTCAGTAAATAATGAATGAATGAATGTTGACCAAGCTTATACAACAGGTATTGCTTACAAAGTACTAGATCTGGTTAAATTGTGGGAGGGGTTTAAACACACGATGTAACATTATTGGGGGCATAAGTGTTTCATAAACACAATTTGCACTTTTGTTTTTACCTTTTTGCGACATTTCCGAAATCGCTGAAAAACTGTGAATATTTTATTATACTCTTCAACGTAACCAGTTGCACATGTATTTTAATTGTGTGTGTGTGTGTGCTATACTTAATTTTGTGTTTTCTGTTGTTTCTTGCATTTTCGGACAAACCTCTTTACTTTCTGAGTGGAGTAAAAAATAATTATTGTTACGACAGTGGGGGTCACGTGACGAGTATTCTAGAAGATTCGCGATAAACGCTAGTGTGTTACGACAGCGGAAGTCAAGTGACCCTGGTAGCACGTGTTGAGTGCCTAGAAAATTCTAGAAGAGGCGGTATTATCGTATATAAGTGCACTAGACAGAGAGAGAAAGGGAGAGAGTGGGGAACCAAGGACAGCAGTTATGGTCGGCGGGAACCGAGGATAGCAAATACAGAGATCGGAACTATAGTTGCTGACAGGCGGAGATGGAGACGGACAATTGAGTCAAGCGCGGTAGAAAGTGAGTGAATTGTTGTGAACTATAGTGTGTGTAACTGTGAAAATTAAGTGTATTGCAAAGTTGTATTGAGGAAGAATAAACAAGTTTTATTTAAGAAAGGACTTGTATCGTAGAAAAATTAACAAACAAACATACAGAGACGTAACAAATTGGTGTCCGAAGTGGGATAGAAAATAAACAGAAGAAGATGGAAACGAGAGGTGGAAAATCAAACTACAGCTTAGCAGAATTGATGGCAACAATACAAGAACAAGAAAAGAAACAAGAAGAACAAGAAAATAAACAAGAAGAGAGATTACAGCAGTGGTTGGAGGAAAAAGAAGAGAGACAACTGCAGTTGCAAGAAAACCTGCAACAGTGGCAGCTCGAACAAGAAAATAAACAAAAAGAGAGACAACAGCAGTTGCAAGAAAACCTGCAACAGTGGCAGCTCGAACAAGAAAATAAACAAGAAGACAGATTACAGCAGTTTTTGGAGGAAAGAGAAAATAAATAAGAAGAACGAGAAAAGAAACAAGAAGAGAGATTACAACAGCTATTGGAGGAGAAAGAACATAAACAAGAAGAGAGACTACAGCAGTGGCAACTGGAATAAGAAAGGAAACAAGAAGTACAAATGGAAAACATTAGTAAGTTTAAAAGTGAATGAAATACATTAAAGGATGATTTATTGTCTTTTACACAAGGAGGATATATTAGCCATCGACTTAATCAGCCCAGACAATGGGAAGACCCTTCCAGACCCTGCAGCTAAACCCTAATGCAGACATCTTCAGTCCTGTCAGAAGTCACATCCCAGATATGAATGTCAGCAATAGGGGTGATCTAGTACGAAGGAAGCCACAGGAATTCGATGGGAAGGCACCGTGGGAAGCATATAGAGCACAATTTGAGCTCCTGGCAGAAATGAATAGGTGGACAGAGGAGCAGAAAGCAGTATATCTGGCAACGAGCTTTAAGGGACAACCACTGGAAATACTTGGACAGTTGTCATTAGACGACAGGCACAACTATAGAGCACTGGTAGCAGCTCTAGAACTCGGGTACGGAACCCAAAATCAGTCTGAAGTCTACAGGGCTAGGTTTAGGACGAGAGTCCGTGCTAAAGGGGAGAGCCTGCACCACCCGATGTCCTCAAATTGTAGCTGAGATCAGTTTGTAGACGCCTTGGACAGTCCACAACTGAAAATACAAGTGAAGCAAGCACACCCCTCTACTATGCAGGATGCAATGGCCAGAGCTCTCGAATTTGAATCCTACGTTAAGTCCAGCACAGAGGTACCAAGGTTGGTAGAGTCATTAGGATTCAAGGCCACAAAAGGTCAGCTTTCAGAAAAGTTTGAGGGACTTTGCTGGCACTGTAACAAACCTGGGCACAAGATAGCTCAATGCTGGTAACTTCAACACAGGGAAGATGCCACGGCAGGAAAGGCTGCTACCCAGAAAGGTTGTTGGAACTGTGGAGAGCAGGGACATATGAGGAGCCAGTGTAAAAAGAATACCACCAATAAGTCAGCTTCGGGAAACCAGTAGTGGTTGGTTCTAAGGGATGCCCACCAACCCCAATCGTGAAAGTCCCAACAGCTAAGTGTAAAATGCCAAGCACACATAGTGTCTATGTGACAAGGAAGCCGGATGGCCAAAGGTGCAACTTTGTCATAGATTCTGCATCCCAGAAAACCCTTGTGAGTATCAAGGTGCTGGATCACAAAGGAGTACCAGAAGCTGTACAGAAGCTTTGTGGTGTAACAGGACATTATGCAAGGTTGTGGGGACCAGTGTGGGTAACTATTGAGCTCATGGGCATGAAGAACAGACAGAAAGTATACTTAGCTGACATTGAAGACCAATGCATATTAGGATTGGACTATTTACTACCGAGGAAGTGTGTAGTTAACTTCGATAAAATGACGTTTTGGAAACAACAAAGGCCAGATTCCAGTAAGTGTGGCTGCATCCGTTGATCTGCATGTCACAGTACTTAAGTCAACTACAATACCCCCTATGTCAGAGAAGATCGTTTGGGGTAGGAAAA